CATCCCAATACAAGGGAAACAGGTCATAATCCCTATTTTTCTAGACTACTTCAGGGCATTCGGTTATGAAGACCCCCTGCACCATAATATTCCTCCGATTGGGATGTAGCCCAGGTTCTTCATTTTATAAAGGAGTTGCATTCTAATGACAAGTTGTCTTTATGACAATTGACGGCAAAGTTTACGCTCTTTTTGTGTTTCTTTCCGTTGGATTTCAGATGTTTGGGCTTCTGACATGCACGCCTTCTCGTTTTCTAAGAAAGATATCACTTTTTGGGTGTCTCGACGTACCAAGTCAGGCTCGACGTCATTTTTTTTTAATCAATTTTTTCCGTCGGATCCTTAACTGTGCATGGTCCAGACACTACACGCCTATGTTACAGCTACGGCCACGCTATGATTTATCTCATCCAGACAATTGTTGGTGTCCTGTGTTACCACCTTGTCCCGATGGGTGCGATGGCTTTTATCTTTGGCCGGGATTGATCCATCCTTTGGCATGCATTCGGTACTGGGTGTAGCAGCCTCTTCCACCTTCAGGGCAGGGGCCTCCCTATCAGATATATTGCTTGCAGCAGACTGGTCATGAGAAACCACATTTCAGACATTTTACTTCCGTCAGTCCTCTAAGGCCGCATTCTCCCTATTGTGTCAGCGTTAAGACTGCAAAATATGAAGCCTGCTGTCATGTCATAAAATTAAAGATAATGCTAGCTTTAGTGTACTAATAATCTTAATTTTAATAATGACAGGCGCTGGGGGAAGAGAGAGGTCTGCAAGCCAACAACAGCAGACAGCCAGCAACAGTAATTAAGGTTAGAAGTGCCAACTGTTAGAGAGAACTCTCTCCGGGGCGCATTAGACTCCATTGTAATCTCTAATAGTGCCTTGAGGGAACACTTTCTAACATAAAGTTTACAAATTTGTGCAATAAATATTAAATAAATGTGGGTGTTTATTACATTTTAAAGTTGAGGGGGGAGGGTGATAAATGCTCTAGGTACTCCCATGTCTAACACCTTCTTACATGTCATCCAATTTTGAGTTTTTTTTTTTTTTTTTTAATTTTCAGTGGCAAGAAACATACAATACATGTCAAGAGCAGAGGCTGATTACAAGTCCAACTAACACAACACAGGGAAGTCCTGATGTTAACATTGGCCAGAGACATTGAGAAATGCTTTCATATACATATATTTTACTCAGCTTTATACAGTAGTGAGGGTTTACTGACTGGATAATTAAAGATATATCTCTTTTCAGCCTCTGCGTCTATCAGATAATCTGTCAATGTTCTTGAATGAGACCACTGGTTTGCTTTTTCTTTCTCTCTCTATTTTAATTTTTTTTCTATTTTCTATTTACATAATATAATAGATAGACATATAGAATATATAGAATACATATACTGTAAGTGCCTCATTATGGGAAAACATTGCCATTGAGGATTCCTGGAGACATTATAATAAGCAATGAACCCGAAGGCTTTATATTCAGTCTGGTCTAAGGTACAGCAATTTGGCAACCGCTTAAATGACATACGGTAGATAACATACATCTGCTTGCACTGTTTCTTGCCACACAGTATACTAAAGAAACCAGTCACATTGAATCAAATGTATGACTGCCAACTCTCTCAGGGAAATTCCCTTTGAAGCCTCACCTTAGTAAATAATAAAATAATAGTGTTGGGGTTATTCACTAAAGTTCAAATGGCCCCACACCAAACCATTTAAACTGCGCAATTTGGGTATTTTTCACACTATTTAACAATGTCTGTCTTTTTTTGGAACTAAACTAACCTAAATTCCATCTGGTATACAGCCAGACCAAACGCTGCTGGCCAACTCATATGAGGATCCAATGCTGAAAAAAAAATCTGAATTATTTGCCCTCTAGCATTACTAACAACTTGCAGGCAAATAGTTAAATAACTCTCAGAAGCACAAGGGTTGATTATGTGACAGCTAGTCTTGCAAGCCAGCTGGCACATTAAAAAAGTAAATTAATAAAAAATCCAATGGGGGATTATAAGACCCACATATTACAAAAAATGGATGTATTTCACTTCCCCGTGTGGACATGTCTACTAAATCTCTGTCTCCACCTATGGCCAGCAGGTGGGGATTTGTAATAAAATAAACAAGGGTGACATCCTTATGTCCCACTGCCCCACCCCTAGTCAGCAAATGGGGGTATTATACTGTTTAGGGCAGGCCTGTCCAACCTGCGGCACCCCAGATGTTGTTGAACTAAAGCTCCCATGATTCCCTGGCTATCTGTGTCATTGAATGAATCATGGGGTTTTAGTTCAACAACATCTGGGCGGCAGCAGGTTTAGCAGGCCCCCAACCATTGGAAGCAAGTGAGGGCCCTATTTGTAATATTTAAGAAGGATAACCAAGTAAGACAACCAATCAGAGCACTCAAAGTTTCGAAATAAGTGATTCTATCTACCTGGCGACATCCATCTCAGAGAGCTTTCTCAGCAGACAACAAGCAGCACATAGTGTTACATACTCTGCATTGCCATATTTCCTGCTTTAAAAACAAATAGCTTTCCATATACATCTGAAGGTTTTAAATTGCTGCCACACTGTTAACAGATTCCAAAATTCCTTTTTAAAAAGTCCTTTGAAGCAGCATGTTTCTAGTGATACAAGCCATTTGCTTCATCCAATATCTATAAACTAAATACTGGATGAATACAATTTACACTTTGGCACTCACATCATGTTGTTTTAGATATGTCATACTCATAAAACTATGCACAAAGGATGTTGTCCTTGGGGGGGAAAATGTATTTTCTTTGTGACCTTTTATGATGTGTTTTTTGCATTTGAAAACAATTGCTGCTTTAGTAAAGTGTCTTGTCAGGGCTAGTGAATCAGTTATTAAGTAAGCCTGTCCTGTGTCCTATTTTATATAATTTCTTCAATGTATTCAGGTGTGAAATAGCAGGAAATTAAATTATTAAAAGGAGAATTGTAAGTCTTCGCTGCCCTCTGATGGAAAAACATTTTATTTTCCTATATCTATGGATTATGTTTTCTGTAATAATTTTCTTTCAAAAGTTTGTTGTTTATATAATCTGTATAAAAATGTATTGTAAAATACAGTCTGTAAATGATAAAACAAGACTAAATGTGCAAATTTATTGAATAGTTTTTTGTTGATTTATTATTTTTGTTTAATTAAACTGCTCAACTTCCTGTAATTTTTAAAGACATGTTTACCTCAGAATTTTTTTCTGAAATATTCTTGCTTACTGCCTGTTTAATACCTCTCCATCACTATAATAACATTCAGTGCATGGTGAGTGCAATTTTAATAGGCAATAAGCACAACAGAAAAACAGTCAACACAGGTCCCTGATTTTCCCAGGGTGCAGTGCTCTAAAATGTCTTATCTCAGACTCATGCAGAAAGTAGATAAGGAAAGCTTATCTAGGGCTTATGCCTGTTAAAGAGCACTCGTGCCATTAAAAGTACATAATGCTATTCCCAAAGACATCATCTGGTGCCTGATGATAACTTTTGGTCCACACACATTGCGCTGTAAAATATCTTCTTGAGCGGAATTGTGAAGAATAGCCGCAGTTTTAATATTAGCACATTCTTAATTTGTTTAGTTATTCTGTATATGTTGTTAATTCCTCAACATTACTTTTGGAGTCTTTCCCCACTCCAAGTAAATGATAATATTAATATAATAATATTAATTGTTTGTTATTAGCCCCTTTAGGTGTTAATGGTTCTTAAGGGGTTAATGTTTTGTTTTTGTTTTTTTTGCTTTGTTTTTTCATAGTCAAACATATTTTAGTATTGATGACAGTCTGATATTAAGGGTCTTGCTAATTTCACGTTTTGAACCAAATCTGGAGTATAATTAATAAAATCTTAAATTCAGTTGTGGTGACAATTAATACACCTCACATCTTGAATTAAACCTATAGTCTGAAATAAAAATGGACTATTTGTGCTTCTTAAATAAACACTCCAAGCAAGAATATAATATGCAGAGTTATTGGTATGGTGGGTAGAAATTAAGAGTACAGGATTTTTTTTAATGGCCTATATGTGGATTAATCTATATTTTATTTTACTTTGGAAGTGATCCTGTGCTGATAAGAACATTTTCAAATGCACTAAGCAAATATGTAATGAAATTCTTATGAAAATTATAACTTTTTAACTGCATACATAAAGAAATAGAAACTTGGGACAGTGGCTCAAATCAACCTAGGTCACAATTTGGGACTGAAATTTGCAACCATTGGGGATATTGTAATTTTAAAAAATGGAGGTCTTCCCATTCATAGCAACCAAATTGAGATGGATGTTTCTTACTGGACCCACTGCTTTCTCATCCAGAGTAAACAGTTAACTGTGAAATTGCCAGTTCCCTAGTAGGAATTAAAACATAATCAAAGGCAGCAACCCAAAGTAAAAAAAAGAAAAACTTTATTGCAATACATGAATAAGTTAAGGCGCAAATAGGGCAGCACACCAAACATAGAACGCGAATATAAATTGGGATAGAGGGACTAGTAGTTCAGCAAAGGAAATCAGGCTTTGAACGTGTTAAATGATTCCATGTCACAACTGGTAAAAGCACCAACTAGAAAGGATTTGGTTATAACAAAAGTTGTTGATCTTTTGAGCAACATTCAAGTAGGGGAGCACTTGGGAAACAGTGATCACAATATGGTGTCTGTTTAAATAAACTCAAAAAAGCAAAACCATATGGGGTATACTAAAACATGTACTTTTAAAAAGGACAATTTCAATAAGATAAGGGCCGCATTATAACATATTCACTGGCATAAACTCTTAAGTAAAAATAAAATTAAGAATAACTTCAAACAAATATTAAAAATTTTAATTTCTCAGTATGTACCATTTGGTAATAAATATAAAAGAAACAAATTGAAGCCTGATCTGCTGAGGCTGCTGCAGGAGTACCAGGTCTCCCATGGTCGGGGAGCGCTGGAGGCGTTGATGTCCGGTGTTACGGCAGTCCCTGGGACTGGCCCTGAGGTGGCTGTGTCGGTGGATGGAGCTAGCGTGCGGACGGCCCGGCGGTCGCGGCCTCTGTCGCGCTTATCGCCAAGTCCGGTTCGACACGGTGAGAGGCGAAGTCGGTGGAGTCGTGAGAACAGAGGTGCCGGAGCTGCGGTGGCGACGTCCCCAGCGCTGGAAGGAGGTCAGCGGAGAAGGTCCCGGCCGGTCGGAGAGGGCCCAAAATGGCGGCGAGGAAGATGGTGCCGGCATCACCGGAAGATCGCGCAGTCCGCGCGCTTCTCTTCTGGCTCCACAGGAAATAACGTTGGCACGCACGGCACGTAGCCTGCGTGCGTCCTCCAATGAGGTCATCACGCACAGCGGGTACGTGATGTTGCCGCGGGGAGGAGCGCGGACGTCACAGGCTGTGCGGTTGCAGAGTGCAGAAGATTTACCCAGGAGCAGGGGAGCCGGACTGCGGGCAGACCAGTCAGGCTACCGCGGGTCCCCAGAAGTATCGGAAGGAGGGAGTGCAGAGTTGGCATCGGATAAGGAGGAGTTCCATGGAGTCCCAGGGCCAGGTCCTGCCCCAGCACCCAGTGAGCTTGGGCTGCGCTGGCAGGGACAACAGTGTAGCATGCAAGGATTGCAGGGGCAGGGGGAGATAGCTTGCTGAGGGCTGTCCTGGAGAGGCTTCCCGGTGGGGGCTCCCCTTTTCCCGCAGTACCCTCACCCGTGGTGGTCGGTCATACAGGCGTGGCGGGCACAGCGCGCCCGTGCCTGCCGGGGTGTGAATTGTCACCCGTGGGGATGCACATTCCCTTTTTAATTTTAAGGGATGAGTTTGTGGATCTCCTCTCCCTGGTCCCTCCGGACCGTGAATCGGTGGACAGACCGCGGCGAGGGGAGATGGTGGAAGGTGAAAAAGGTAAATAGTTGCCGCATACCTTTGGGAATTGGCTTCAGGGCTTCTGTGTAAGTGAGTATTCTCTCGTGGCGGTGGCCAGAGTGGGCGGAGTCATTATTCGGATATTTGAATTTAATTTGGGGGGCCTATAAAATTATGACCAGCAGTTTCGCCAAAAAATGGCGGTGATTCCGGGTATGGATTTTGGGGTGCAGGATGGCAGCCTATGGCTGCTGTTGATGACCCCATGTCGCCCGGCCCCCTTTCACGAAAAGGAGTATGCTGGCTCTTTAACGAGAGCCATTGCCGATGGTATGGGTCATGTAGATTTCGACATGAGTGCTCGCACTGCGGCGTGGCTCACCAGGCCTTGAGGTGTTTTAAGAAGGGGAAGCAGGGGCCCCGCTCGGGTAAGGACGACGTACCTCAGATGGAGGATGCCGGTGAGCGTGGAAAGGATGTAGCCGTGGCTCGACCGGTATCCTAAACGACGAGACGCACAAGTTTTATTGGATGGGTTCTCGGTTGGGTTTTGGATCCCTTTTGTGCCTTCGTCCTCACCGACCTTTGCGGGTAATTTGCGGTCGGTGGTGGGGAAAGGAAACCATTTTGAGGGACAAGCTCGAGAAGGAGGTTTGTCCCGGTCGTATGGTGGGCCCCTTTGATGGCCTTCCTTTTCCCAATTTGCGGGTCTCTCCTCTGGGCTTGGTTCCCAAAAAGGAGCCGGACACCACCTGTGGTATCCCTCGGGCGGGTCGGTGAATGACGGGATTGATAAGGAGGTGTCTAGGGTCAGGTATGCCTCCTTTGATGGGGCGCTAGAGTTGGTGTGGGATGCCGGGACGGGGGCCCAACTGGCGAAGTCGGACATTGAAGCGGCTTTTCGTCTCCTTCCGGTGCACCTGGACTGTTTCCACTTGCTGGGGTGTCATTTCCAAGGTTTGTATTTCTTTGACATGTGTTTGCCCATGGGTTGCACCATTTCCTGTTCGTATTTTGAAATGTTCGCTTCTTTCCTGGAATGGGTGGTCTCCCAGGTGGCGGGTCTGACATCTCTGACGTATTACCTGGATGACTTCCTGTTTGTGGGGCCGAGTGCGTCATGGGAATGTGCGGTGCTACTGGAGTCTTTCCAAAACGTGGCTGCGGATTTTGGCGTGCCGGTGGCGGCGGGTAAGACGGTCGGGCTGTCGGGGGTGTTGTCGTACCTGGGTATTGAAATTTACTCAGGCGAAATTATGTTTCAGCTTCCTGAGGATAAGTTGGCGCACTTGGTGCGTCTGGTGGATCGGGTAAAAGGCGCGAAGAAAGTCCAGCTGCGCCAATTGCAGATTTTGTTGGGGCATCTTAATTTCGCGTGTCGGGTTCTGGCCATGGGCAGGGCATTTTCTCGCACCTCCAATCTGCTTTTCAAGTCTCGTTCCCCTTAAGTTACTATTTGTGACAAAATCAAGGATTGGTTTCATTAAAGGGGGAGGGGGGGCAATTCAGATACCTCCTTTTCATGTGTGGGGCTCTGACCCGATTAGCTTAATTACGAAGGAATTATAATACCGCTTAACTGACATTATCGTCTCCTCATTCCTTTGAATTCCCTGCATTATATAGGTGATGCATTCAGACCATCTTAAGGTCCTGAGATATAGCCTGGCTCAGGAAACTGCCATATGCCTTGACTTCAGGATGCTTCCAGTGCTTCCGACTGGTGGCATTAAACGATATTTGTGGGAAGGAGCATTCTTACTTCACCACCTGTCTTACGTTTTGGGCCATGTGCTGCCCCAAACTATTGATATATTTGCATAGTCTCTCTATTAGCTGCTCATGTATGTTGATACTATCCCTCAGTGTTACATCACCTTGACCATTTACACCGATAACAAAATTGTATGCCATACCCCGAAGCAGGCACAAAAATTTGAATCTGTTACATCCTTTGACACTCCATGGTCTTGATATAAAACCGTTGGCTCTCCACCAGTTTTATTCTTATTGACATACACCCAATAATTGCATTTCAGCCTCCCCACAATCTAGATCCAGTGAATCAGCCCTTTCTGCAAGACCATGCCTGTTCCAATTTGGATCTCCAGCCTCTCCTTGATCTGCTGAACTTTACTATGCTCGTTATACGTTCCTTTATTTCCCGTCAACTCCCTTGCTCTCACGTTCACCTAACAATGGTAGTGCTGTACACTCAACACACTTGTTTGAGCTGACCAGTTCTTCTGTCTACGCTTCCTATCCCACCGGAACAGGATAAGCATGTTAATTTCACCAATGTCCATTACTCCATTTTCTGGACTGACGCTGCTACCAGCACTGGTTTGCTGCCATTTCCAAGAATGCTTAGGTCCGCGACACATATATCTGTAGTGACATGGAACCTGCCATTTGGTTAATCCACAGCATTCTAGCTCCATACAAATTGGTTCCCCTTACTAACATTAATAAGGTTTAATTAGGAGGTTTACACACATAAAACGGGTGGAGCTTCTTAAAATAACAATATAACAGATATTCTGTAAAATAGAATATAAAACATAGTGCAATACAGTAATATGAATAAAATTGAAAGTATATATGTAGTAGGTATTCCACTCACAAGCCTAGAGTCATAGTTTCATATGACTCAGATGATATGTGCCTTTGGACCAATTTAGGATGTCCAGATCCTTCTTTCTTGCAGGATTCCGTCTGTGACCACCTTTAACCAACTTCCAGACCAAAAGATGTCAGGTCAACAATAGGTTTCTAAAAGGTTGGTGCTTTATTTAAAATAAAAATCTTTTAAAAGAAATTAACATTTAAAATCAAAATAAAATGTAACAACTTTAAATGGGGCTATATAGTCCTTAGTAGTCGCCAAAACGCGTTTCGCCTGGTACAACAGGCTTCCTCAGTCGGCTAAAATGTCCATTGTTTGGTCTTTTCGGTTATTTAAACAGTCCGCTCAATTTCACTTCCGGGTTCCGGTTTTCGCTTCCGTGGAACGCAATTTTGCGTTCCAATGATGTCACTTCCTGCTCCGTCACTTCCGGGTTAGTGCCTTATTCGGTTGGAACGCATCATGCGTTCCAATCGTAACATTTCCTGTTTCGTCACTTCCGGGTACTGATCTCGGTTAATTGGAACGCACAATGCGTTCCACCAGCATCATCCTCTATTATTTTCATTCGATCCACCCTGACAACTTCTTTTTCACATATTTATATGTATATATTAATGTACTATATTAGTGTATCATTAGTGTGGAGGTCTGTTCTATATACTATTATACATATATTGGTAAACTCTACATACATATTAAAAGATCCCAATCTACAATGTACAAGACATTTTTCTTAAGATGTTTTTATAGGAAGAAAGTGATTTACATATTTTAAAGTGCTCTTATGTTATAAAGGTGATATAAACATTTCCCCTTAAAGTGCTTTTATATATTAAAGTGCTTTTAAGTGCTTTTATGGTGTTATTTCCACAATAGTGTTCAAAAGTATGCCATTTCAAAAACTAAAAATAGAGAGAGAATTTAAAGAGTAGTATCCTTGCTAAAAATACATATAATTATGCAGAATACACCTATTTCAAATTTATAAAATAATTAGGAAAAAAAAAAAAAATCAGTTCATGAAATGACATAATTCAAAGTCTTGATTTAAACCATGAGGTGCCATAGTGTTAAAGTTAAAAATAAATCTAATTTCTTCTATTCCTATTTTCCTAATGTAATCTCCTCCTCTCCAATCTTTTTTAACCAATTTTATTGCACAAAAAAACAATCCTTTGGGATCTTGGTTATGGAATGTCTTAAAATGGTTGGAGACGCTATGTGACTCCAATCCATTTTTTATATTTCTCGTGTGCTCTGCTATTCTCGTATTTAAGCATCTAATCATTCTTCCTACATATAGGAGATTACACTGACACTTCAGGACATAAATGACCCCTTTGGAGTAGCAAGTTAAATGATCTCGGATTTGAAATTTCTGATTTATCCAAGGTTCCATATCTATTATATGTCGCTTCCTACTTTTAGTATTTCTGCATGCTAGGCACTGACCACAACCATAAAAGCCTTTATTTTGCCTTAGGAAATTTTTTTCCACCAAAATTTGTTTATCACTACTTTGTACTAAGGTGCTTTTTTAAATTTTTTGCTCCCCTGTAAAATTGCGTTGCACGGAAGCGATAACCGGAACCCGGAAGTGAAATTGAGCGGACTGTTTAAATAACCGAAAAGACCATACAGTGGACATTTTAGCCGACTGAGGAAGCCTGTTGTACCAGGCGAAACGCGTTTTGGCTACTACTAAGGACTATATAGCCCCATTTAAAGTTGTTACATTTTATTTTGATTTTAAATGTTAATTTCTTTTAAAAGATTTTTATTTTAAATAAAGCACCAACCTTTTAGAAACCTATTGTTGACCTGACA